ATAAAAAAAAAAAAGTCGTATCATACCACCCTAATATAAGAAGGAAAACAACGCCTCTGTAGCCACAAAGAATATCAAAAGCGTGTGTGTAAATGTTTTGAACGTTTCGTAAGTGTCATCGATGGTTAAACAAATTTCGTTCAGGTGACTTTAGCCTTAAAAACTGTGATGGCAGGGGCCGACTTGTTGGAATTGATATTGATGCTCTGAAGACGCTTGTTGAGTCTAACCCAAGGCAACACACTCGTGAAATGGCCCTGAAATTACATGTCTCTCATGAAACAAGACATCTAAGGAATGTGGGAAAACTCCATAAAGAAGGTGTTTGGGTGCCTCACGAACTCTCTGATGATCATAGTTTCCAACGTGTGAAGGTTGCTTCGTCTCTTCTGGCATGTAATGCGCGAGAACCATTCTCGGACAGAATTGTCACCGGTGATGAAAAATGGATTCTTTATGCGAATATTAAATGCCAAAAACATTGGCTCAGTCATAGACAAAAAACCACTTCCGACCCCAAAACCTGGACTCCATCCGTAGAAAGTGATGCTTTGCATTTGGTGGGACTTAATAGGAGTAATTCATTTCGAACTCCTCAATCCACAGCGAATTGTCAATACAAAGATCTATAGTCAGCAAGGGGAACATTTAAATCAAGCCCTTCATCAGAAACACCCTTCACTCGTCAATCGGAAAGGTGTTCTTCTCCACAACAATGCACGTCCACATGTGGCATGTTTGACGCAACAAAAGATTATAGAGTTGGGTTGAGAAGTTCTCTCCCGCCCACCATATTTTCCAGATATGGCACCATCAGATTACTATCTTTGTCGTTCGCTGCAACACCATCTTAATGGGAAGACGTATGCAAATGTGGAAGGTGTTAAAGAGGACATCAACATGTTTTTTGCTTCAAAGCTAAGTGATTTCTTTAATCAGGGCATTAACAACCTGACTGTAAGATGGAAAAGAATCATCGATAACAATGGAGACTATTTCATTTAATAAATGTTTTGTTTTGATATATAAGTTGTTCGGGTTTTTACATCTAAAAAAAAGCAACATTAATTTCTTGATGACCTAGTAACTATTATTTAATGTTGTATACATAGGTGCGGGTCTAGATGGGGTCTTAACCACCCCTCCATTTTTTCAGAAATAAATAAAAGCAGCCAGATATCCATACTACCATATAGCATCAAAACGAAACATTAGATGTCAAGTGTGTTTATTTGATTGGGCTATCAATTACCATAAAAGCTTTTTAGAGGTTTTTTGAAATAAACACAGCTGGAGTCTACTGCAATGCAATTGAGGCTTCAACCAATAACTGATTATTTCAATGCTAGTACAACAATATGAACTACAACTGAACATTGCCATGGTAAAGTTTTGTGCCTCATATTCCTACAGACACTCTAACAAAGTGTCTAGGCTTTAAGAGATTTATTTTTGCCAAAAATATTGTTGTTTAGGACACCTCCAGCTCTCATAAATAAGACTTACTATAGAATCAATTTTTCATCACTTAGTAGTTAGAATTCTCATGAGAAAGATGTATATTTGTATTGTTGATGTCTAAAATAAGTGAAAATGCAAAAGCATGACTGTATAAATAATGACTTTTTAAACAAGCATCCTATTTATCAGTGCTATGATTTCTTTCTAAATAATTATAACTATCTAAATTTCATTTTAAAAATTTGAAATGTGTGTTTTAACTATGTGTATTTTCATATCAATCACAATAGAAATAAAGATATAAGCTTTGAAATCACTGGATTATAATTTGACTGCACTAACCATTTTGAAAATATAAAAATGTTACTTTATTTTTGTTTGGGTTATTCAGGTTACTTTAGGACTATATGGTGAGCATTGATTAATACAAAACCCTTCATTATTACAATAGGACTTTCTTCTTGGTTACAGTGTTGCACAGTAAATTATTAAAAAGTTAACTGGTATCATACCATCACTGTAGAAATGAAACATTACTGCAGCTGGTGTGGAGAATTTAAACACTGTTGTTACTTGTTAACACAATAATATTATAGTAATACAACAGACATTCTAGTTTTATACTTATTCATTCACTAATGATTTACAAACACTGTAAGATAAATTGATTACTATCAAAAGTTTTATTTTATAAAATGATGTTTTCCTAATTTTTGTGTTGTTTGAATCTAAATTTAGATTTCAATAATATCAAACAGTATTAGGTTTTTACTTTGGCTAAGAACTTGTTGACTAAATAAATAAAGTGAGTTGTTATTCATTTCCCTCCAGTGATTAGAAAGCATTTGAGCTGCTGTGTAGTTATAAATACAATACTTAAGGCCACAACATTGTCATAAACCAGGGGTGCAATATTCTGATTAACGAATTTAATGTTTAAACTATAAAAAAAAATTTTTGAAACATTTAATGATTATTATATTAATTTTTAAGAACATTAAGAAAGTTTTTTGTACAAATTATTTTTATATGTATAAAATATTACATATTTCTGTAATATATATAACAAGAAGGAATCCTCAATAGCCGCAGCACCTGATATTCTTTTGAGCAGCATTAAAGTGTATTAATCTACGAGACCTTTACTTCCATTCAATTAGCTATATTTATGTGTACCAGCAATAACAAGCGTGGGATGTGCATATACCCGATTCAATTTTATTACTCATCAGGACCTTTTAGGCAGGATTACAGTAAATTAATCTATGAGACCTTGGGCATGGTCAAATACATCAAACAAAAGGGTTTGACCTTCTGAGTCCAAGACTGTAATTAGATATCAAATCGGTCAAAAGATGACAGAGCTCTGAACTAAAAATTTGTACTTGTAAAACTCCGAGCCATTCAACAAGTTGCTATTCCATGGCTAAAAATAGTGAAAACAACAGAAAAAAATAATTGCATCAGGTGCACCATAATGGCCTATCTTAATCAGACAAGCAAGCATTAATCATATTATTACAGTAATGGTATGCTAGCGCCATTAACCCATGTTTGCATAATTGTTTGTCGGGATCCCCCATCTTCCACACTAGATCCAACGAGGTGCTTCATTTTGATTTATTGTTTGGTATTGTACAGTTGATCAACAGTTTGATGATGATATTATAGATTTCTTTTCCTTAGTTTATGAAATAGTGACTTAAAAAGGACTCAAAAAGTGTATTAACTTATGACTTGGAAATGATACATACCACACCTTTTTCCCACACCACAGACATTCTGTCTTCAACACCATTTACACCATTTGGGATCTTGGTGAAATCATTGGCACCCATGGCTTTTTGATTGGCATTAAACGTACAGTTGTCTGTACCCGTCAGCTGTAATTCACCAGTACAGAGAAAAGAAAAATAATGTTATGCTACAACTTTTTGTATTCACTAACTCATAAGAAAAAGTCTGAAAATTTAGTAAGCAAATATTTTCTTACCATGTAGAATGCTATCAATGTTCAGTAACATATATTTGTAACCCATAACTTGAACAGGGCTATTATACACAAGTATTGTGACTGTACTCCCTGTTTGTAAAACAAACCACAAAAAAAAGCGATTTTCCAGGAAATTGCTATGCAGACTTTAGAAAATTATATTAATGTAAGTACTGGTAAGTCTACAGTACAGCAGAAGTTGTTGCTTTCACTAAACCATCTACTTTATGTCTTGATAAAGTCTGTGATTTTTGAGTTTCTCCCAAACTAAAAGCTTAAATAATACAATAGAAAAAATTATCCTTGTTTTCACATTTTCTTTGCTGGATCATCATTCTAATTTGTGTATGAAAGAGCTAGCAAATGAAACTTAGTATGTTTACATAAAACATAAGACAGTAGCATACTGAATTAGTACATGCTTTAGTACACAGAAACCTAAACCCTTAGTGATGTTTGAAGTTTAACTTTGAAAGCGGTGTTTATAATTTGGTGATTTCCACAAAATATTTAATTAGCACATAAACCTAGTTTAAGTTATTGTTCTATTTACCTAGGTGATAATGCTTGCTTTGTACCTTGCTTTTTTCCTGTGTGTGATATGTACTAATTTCAATGATTTGCTCATAGCATGCAGAAACAGTTGCTTTTTAGTGAATTCATATTGTGAAAGTTGCTATATCAACATTTGTCTCAGGTGTGGATAAGCTATATTTTTTATAAGCTAGACAGTTCTTATACTACAGTTAATGGATATATTACTTGTATTGCTTGAAAACTGTTCAAACAGGCTAACAAAAAATATTTTCTGGGCATGTAAATTCAGTTTATATTTATATTTTCTAGCACTTGTTCCTTATGGAGAAGTCTTTATGAAACTATAATACAGTTGAAGCTGTTCTTGATTTATAAATATATTCATGACAGGACTTCTTGAGCTTATACTTGTAGTTGGTTGTTTATTTTGCAAATGAAATTATACAAATCTATTTATAGAGTGTAGAAAAAGTACATAAACTTTCATTTTAATTTGTCACATTCTGCCTGTACAGCATTAATTTTCCCTGGAAAGTCAAAATCAAAACAAAACTTATATTGTTTAATGCTAACAAAATATAGTTGAATAGTCCTAGCAATGTTCCTTTCAAACATTGATATTCCTCATTTTTCAAATAACATAGAACTGAACTAATCTTTTCTGTCATCTCTCTAAGTATTAGTTAAATACATCAAATTACTGTACATTTAAAGAAATAAACTTCATTCTCACCATCTGATACTAAAACATGCAATAATCCAAAATGTAAATCATTCTTAACTACACGATTTTCACAAAGTGCATGTTAATTCCAATTTTTAATTACATTTTGATGAAAACAAATATCTTATTAACTAAAATACTAGTGTAAAAGCTACAAGCCAGAAAATTATAAGTCATTTTTAGCAAATAGTTCATCTGTGAAAGAAGGGCAGGGCTTTACAAAATCACTCAGAAATATCTGGATAGACAAGCCTACACATTTAAAACTACAGTACAAACTTTACAAATTCGACATTTGCTTTAGTTTGTTATGGCAACTGAATAAATTCAATAGTAACTGAAATTTCAAATTTTATTATTACACATTGTACTAATTTATCAATAGTTATATTTTTGCATAAAATCTTAAAACTTTGATATTATTTAAAGGTAAAATTAAGAAATTTAAAGAAAAACAATTCAGATTTTTTTCTTATGACAGCATTTTTTACCATCATTCTTGATGCTTTTCATAAAATTCTATGGCTTTTCTGATAGTTTTGTCATATGATATCACTAATTTCGAGGGTTGTTTCTGATAAAAACACAATTTATTTAAAAGAATACAATTTCAAAGTTTTATTTAAAAAATAAAATTTTCGAGATTTCTGACTTTCACATAGTACATGTATTAAAATTCTAATTTAAGGAAGATTATAAAACATATTAATACCTCCAGCATTATTAAAAACACAGACCTATTATTTAAACTTTTATTGAGCTACAAAGATTTCAGTAGGTCTACATATGAAGTTTTTAGTTCTTTTAAATTTTAATTCTTTTATGGTTGGGAGGGATATTAGTTCTCAGTCAGCTTGCAGTTTTCAACATGGTAAAAATTATTTCTGTGTTACAATGTAGATTTTTTAAATCAAAAGTGTGTTTATTATTAACAGTATAAGCTACTTATCTAGCTAACATGTCCATTAGATAACCAGGAGTTGAAGGATCTGGACGAAGTGGAGGAGAAAGGACATGAGCAGCAGCATGTTGCCAACACTTGTTGAAATAGTGAGTTCCATCTGTCCCCAGTCCTGCAGCAATTGGCTCTCCAAATACAACACATCCTACAAGGCATCCAATCTTATCAGAATTTGAACACCTTGAAAATCTTCACTATTTTTTTTAACTTTTAAAGTCTGAAGCTGTTACACAAAACATTATCTTCTAACTGAAATTGGAATTATTTACTAGAGGCAGTTTTAAATCAAATGATTCATGTAAATACCCTGAATAAAAAATTGACTAAAATTCAATTTAAATATTTCACTTTTTAATTGTACAATGAAAATAATATTAACAAAAATTAACTATATAAATTAATAAAAAATAAAAATAAATTGAAAATTACTTTCACTTTGAAATAAAACAAGTAATATTTAACAATATGCCACTTTCATTATTAATGAAGTCTCAAAAATTCTTATTGTTTTGAAAGGCTAAATGAGATAGGAATAAATCATGATCAGTAAGGAAATTTACATTATTGCATTGCCCCAACAAACAGGTAATCCTATTTCAACCCTGAAAAAATGTAAATCCAAAAGACAACCTTTGATAACAAATTAGAAGACATTTAGAATAGATAAAAGAAAAAATGTCATTGACAACAACAAAACTTCATATTCTAACCAAAAGCTAAATAAGAAAATGAACAAAAATCTTTTTGAGATGGTCTGCATTAGGAGTTGGACTGACAAGAATCAGAAAAAAGTGTTAGTTTGATATTACTCACTTAACCATACTGCACATGACAAAAGGTTTTAGTGTCTTACATTCAAAATTTTATTAAACCACTTTTTATTTATGTTATACCAATTAGTATAGCATAAAATCTTAGCTAATAATCCATGTTTTAATAGTACACAAGTTTTAAGTTCTTAATTCTTTTGTCAATTTCACGTTTAGTACAAGCTTCATTCTCACAGTAAAGATAATGACTAGCTTTGATGAATTTGTAACAGCTCTTGTCACATAATTAGAAAGCCAGAAAAATTTTAACTGTTAGAGGAAATTGTCTGCTTTTTTACTTTTTACATGTTATTATTCTATGTTCTTTTGTGCATTATTTAATTAAATAAAAATGATTTAATATACTACTACCATTAGTATAAAAAAGTAGGGTTAAGTGACATCGACATTAGACAGCAAAAAATAAAAAAAAGAACAATCGAGTAAGTGCTTTATTTCTTGTTTATTCTATACTTACTATTATAAACGTAACTAAAATGTAAAAATAGGGATCTATTTAGGTTAATTAAAGTTAGATTAGGTAAAATAAATAATAACAATATAATAAAATGTTTCACAAGACACGCACTCAAGCAGCTCAAGGGTAAAGTAATCCGACAGTGTAACATGAGCTCCCCAAGTGATTTAAAACCTATATTGGAGCGAACAGTAGTTAGACATGATTCAAAGGGCAATAAAAACAATAAAATTCAATTATAAATAGATGTATACTGTTACAAGATTAAAACTACTTAGGATAAATGAATGTAGTTTCAGGTTACAATATGAAGTCATTCTAGAAAGAAAAAAGGGTAATTTTTTTTTGGTGGTTATGAGGTCTGTCAAACTGACCTATCTTGTATAGAGTTAGGATAGAGAAAATAACAGATAAAATATAATGTTTTACTGAAAACAAACGTTTGAAATGTATTTGGGAGGTTTTAGAGATTACACAAATGAAATTTGAGATTTTTTGAGATGAATGTATTCTTAATTTTAACATGAAAACCACTTTGCACATGGACTATTCAAATCAAATACTTGATATATTCATGAACAAATCTTTTTTTTAGTTTATTTAAAAATATGACTTTTTCGTATCTGAAAGACTTGTAATGTTAAAATGGCTGAAAAAGTCAATAGTGGGACATAGTGAGCTTCCAGTTGGTTATTCATGTCATACATAGAAGTAAGTGTATATAAGGGAGCGTTTCCAAAAATGGAAAGAGGTAGGTGGGATGTCACTGTGTTTGATTTATTGCTTAAGCAATATCTTAACAAATAAAAAAGATAAGATGTTCTTATTTTATATTCTTGTTTGTCAATATCAGTAACTTGAGTTCCTAATTCATATGAAACTATAGACTTAGTATTTTGACATCACAAAAATCGATGTTTAACTGTGTTTTCTAATATTTACTCTTAAATTAAGATAATGAGTAAGGTATAATACTAAAGTTTGAATTATAATCTACAGTTTGATACCAAACTTATTGACATCAATTCATGAAACAGTAGTTCAATCAAATTTTGAATGCGTGTCAACAAATGTGATGACATGGCCTTTCAACCATGACCCATCTGGAGAGTGTTAAAATATTCTCATGCAAATGAATATTGTGAAATCCAGAAGTTTAAGAAAACACAACAGACTGAAACCTTTGTAGAAAACTGTTTTCCTGCTACATACACATACCTGTACATTGTATATATTAGGTTAATAAAAGAAATAGTTTTCAGATATAGTTAAAAGTCATGCAGAAAACGAAAATATTCACTAATGGTATCCATATTCATTCATCATATGGATACGAAGTTTTTTATACATTTCACAATTTTACACTATTTATGACACTTATTTTTTTATTTTAATAAAAGTTCTCGGGTTTGTCAGCAGTTTTACCTAAAATAGCTAGATACATATCCTCTAGCTAAACATTGAAAAACATCACTACTACGGTGGCTTCTTGGATATTGGAGATGGAAATTCTCACTCATGTCATCAAAGAGAGAGTGACACGGTCTTGCCAACATCACCTAAGCCCCAACACAGTGTGATCAGGGTCAACCTGTTGCCAATTGCTGGTAATACTGACAGCAGGATATCAAACAGACTGATGCAGTCTTGTAGACTTCTCATAAGACAATGTGGTTGGGGTCAAACAAAATTTACTTTTATGGAGTATATATATAGATGCAAGTAGGCAGTATGACTTTTCTAACTTCATAAATATTAAACCAATTAAACCTGACTGTGGGAGTTTGCCTATTCTCTTGACTGTAATGATAAAACTTTGAAGGCAAGTTCATCGTCCCTGGATTTTGACTGTGACCCCATGGAAAATTTATTTGGACACCCATACCCATATCTAAGTACATTTAAGAGATACCTTTCATTTCTTTGCTTATTCTGTTCCTTTTTATAAGCAAACATGAACTAGCTTGAAGCAGATGCAACAAATGTTTGAATAAAGTAAAACATAACTAAAAAGATCCCCAAAAGCCAAGTTATACTTTTCCTATATTGAAAATGTATTTCCAATAGATACTTACTTCCTCTCACATAAGTGTTTTGTGCATGGTATTCTCATTCAGTGATGCCCTGTATATGCAAGAAAATGTTTTGCACATGCCACAAGCCTTCAAGCTCCCACATCTGGAATTGACTGATTCCAATGCATCTCACATGCACATCATCATCCCAACCACATAATATATGAATCTCAATCCCATAATATGTAAATGTGGGTAAGAGTAAAAGGATGTGCCTCCAGGTCTAGTGTGGCTAGGGCACGATGGACCACACACGGTCAGTCAATCAACTACAATCCAAAAGCCAGCCACATGTGAGGGTAGGATGAAGTATGCCAATCAAAGGGGTGAACTGCAATTTTGATGGCTCATTCCAGTGTTACATACTGGAGGATATCTTGTCATCTACACCAGCAGAATACCACCACCATACTCTCAACTGAATGGTTTTATAATTATTTATGTATATGTGATATATATATATTATTTGCATTAACACATTCAAGAGGATGCCTCCATGGTCCACCACCCCAGTGGCTTGGAACTGGAAAGTGGTAAGAACTCTCAAACTATACTAGAAGAAAATGGGGGAGAAAGCGCAGTGGATAGTTTGGAGGAATGACAACACCTGAGACAGTGCAGGTGTTGTCTAGAAAAGTAGATAAGATAAGTATCTAGAAGAGTAGATAAGATGACACAAAGCTGAAAAACTAAGTATGGGAGAAAATGGATAGGATTAACCGATATCCAAAGGACATAAAATCAAGAAGAAAATATTCTTGATAATAAGATAAAGCAAAAAGAATCAAAGTCGATATAGGGCGAGGCATGCAAGTACCCACTTTCAAATGAAATGGGTAAAGCCATTATAGCATGGACCCCATCTCCCAGGGAGATGTGTGTGTGTTTTCTTATAGCAAAGTCACATCAGGCTATCTGCTGTTTCCACCAAGGGGAATCGAACCCATGATTTTTTGCATTGTAAATCCAAAGACTTACTGCTGTCCCAACTGGTGACCCCACAGGCCCATCACAAACAAAAGTATCGATAAGAAGTATAAAGTATAAATTAAAGTAAATTAATGGTAAGAAGGATAAATTATATGAAATGACAAAAATGAAATAGTCGATATATTGGAAAAGTTAAGAAATTGTGTAATGAAACAAACATATGTATTACATGTTAAGTGTTGAAGAAAACAAATATTTATCCTAACTGTCAATTAACTCAGAAGTATAACCACAGGCAAACCGCAATTAACAAACACTTTTTAAGCCTAAGCTAAAAAGATATTTAACTTAATACATGATTAACCCGTAAGTAGAATCACATGTAAATCTAAAATAACAGTCACATCTTAAGCCTAATCGAACAGAGTAAGACAAAGGATATCACTAAGCACTAAAATAAAAATAATAACCTAACAATAAGTATGTAACCATATTGGGAGAAGTGAGTGAGAACCCGGCTCAAGGGTTCCACACAAACCAAGTAATATAAAGAAATATAAAAGATGAATAATAACAAAAATTAAATAAATGTTAATTTTTAAAATGAAGGAAGTGTGTATTAACTATAACGTATGTATGAGACCTGATGTATGGAAGAAATACAATACAGTTAAACGAATGATTGATATACCAGTAAGATAAATTACAGGTAATCCTAAAATAATAAAGTCCCCTGGTAAGCCTAAGTGAATGGTATAGGAGAAAAGATACAACTAAAACTAATGTCTAACCTGAAATCAGATAATTACAGATAATAATAATAATAAAAGAATTATTCAAAAACCATTACAGTATAATGTCTTATCTTCCCAAAGTTAGCAGACTATATTTCAAATTGTGTGTTTCCCGCAGAGTAGTGCTACCTAAAGCTAGAGTAAATGGGCTGATGGAACATGCAAACTCCAAAGCAGTAATGCAGAATTCGTAATGCAAAATGAATAACCAAACACCACTGTGTTGGCAGAAAGAAAGAAAAAGTTTTTGTAATGAAGTAATAATAATAATAAACAAAATAATTCCACTTCGGAATAACTCAACAAGTTATAAAAAGCACTTATTATATAATAAAGAGTAAACTGGTTGAGAGAAATTAATACAAAGACATGGAAATAAAACTCTTTAAAAGAGCACAAACTAAACATTACAACACAAGTACTGCCAAATGAGAAGTGACAGTTTAATAGAATTGAATAGCGGGAGTCACATGTGTCAAGAGAGTATGTCGCACTCTTATTGGAGGAGGGTTGTCACATGATGATTTGTATGCGAGATGCATTGAAATTAGCCATTTCCAGTTGTGGAAGCTTCAAGGCTTGTGGCATGTACAAAAAATCTTATGTGAGTGAAGATAATATACTATATAAGAAAGACAGTTTTATCAAAACTGAAAAAAAATCAGCTAATCAAAAAACAACATATGTTTAATGTTAGATATTCTTGGTTTGGAGCTACAGAATGTAGAAGATTAATTAGCTAATCTATGATAGGAAACTTGAGTATACATACACAAAAAAGCAAAAACAACACTGAAATAGTTTTTAAAGGAGGAAGAAAACTTAAGTTAGGGTACACCTTTGTTATCTTTATTTTATTTACCAACTTCTGCAGAAATGTATGTTACAAGCCTTAATTAACAATTTTTTCTTATGAAGCAAGAAACATTAGATAGTAATATGCCTTCCATAAACAAGTCCTTGCACTAACCAAAGAGAGAGAAAACAAAGTATTTTTTGACAGAGCAAAACATTATACTGACTAAATGGCAAGGTCAAAGATCTATAACTGTCCCAATATTGAGCTGCTTGCCAGAGAGAAAAAAAGCCAAGCAGCAGTAACCAACCACCACAAAGACTTTGTCCAGTTTGTTGAACTAAATAAAAGGATTGTCACTCTTATAATGCATTCACTGCTGAAAGTGCAGAATATTTGTAGATCTAAAATCCAACTGGTGTAAATCAAAAGTTATACTAGTTATAAACAAAAGTATACATGCAGGACTCAGACTGATTCAGGCATTTTTGTATAAGAAAAAGCAAGAGCTATTGACCAGAGAACAATGTTGGCAAAAAACTGTAGATTAACCTGTAGAGAGTAAGAACAGGAATTAATCTAGATTTCCAATTTATATCATATTTATAAAATCATTACAACCTGCTAGCTGTTGCATAATTGAAGAGTTACATGAAATACATTTGACAAACCTAAGATCTCCAGAACAGAATAATTACTACAGTCTCTTATAGGCTATTGGTCATCTAGTACATAAATAAGTTCTTTTGTAGGTATTTTAATCAGGGGAAAGATTATAATTTATGGGTATAATTTGGATTCTTATGAATGAGGATTAGGCAAGGGTATAGGGAAATTATGCTAGCTCTGCTATAAGTAATTCATAAAAAAGATAAATGTAGGAGGTCAGCCTTACAACTTTTTTATGAAGCATCTCTCTAATGACATTGTTTCAGGTAGAAGGGAATATGATTAGGCAAGATTTAATGTAAAGCATCTCTTAATTGTGTTGTTGTTATGTCTAGTTATTATTCCATCTATAGCTATTGACAGTAGATACTAGTTAACCCTTTCACCATGGGCTACATATAAAATACCGAGTCTGTATACACATGTGCATTCATTAAGTATTTATACTATAACTTTTGATACAGTATGTGTATCTTCACAAAATTTGGTACAATTTTGGAAAACATTACAAGTCTTTTGTACATAAAATATCAGATTTTTTGAACAAAGTCTTTTTGCTAAAAATTTGTTTGTGAACATATCAAGTCTGTTTCATTACTAGTCCGAGTGCAAAGTGATTTTCATGTTATGATTAAAAATACTATTCTTCGTCCAAAACAATCTCAAATTTCATTTGTGTAATCTCTAAAACCTCCTAAATACATTTCAAACATTTGTTTTTCAGTAAAACTTTATATTATATCTGTTATTTTCTCTGCCATAACTCTATACAAGGTTGGTCAGTTTGACTGACCGCGTAACCACATACACACAAAAAAAAAAATTGAAATAAATCTAAATTACTCTTTTTTTCTTTCTCAAATGATTTCAAATTGTAACGTGAAACTACATTTATTTATTCTAACCCAGCAAACACACTACGTAGTGACATGGTATAGTGGTTTGGTAATGTCCCAATAATACATAGCATGTACATAGTAATAATGTAACTTCATAATGTTGTCCCACTACATATTAACATTAAATTATATATGTAACTTTATAACATATAGCTAGTGCTATTAAGTAGCAATAGCTTTAAACTCATAACAATACACAACTATTTATACTTAAATGTTATTGTGTTATTGCCCTTTGAACCATGTCTAACTGCTATTCGTACCATTACAAGTTGTAAATAACTTGGGGAATGTGAGGCTCACATTACGCTATTGAATGACATTACTCACAAGCTACTGCAAGCTGCTCGTGTGTGCATGCCTCGTGAAAATATTTTATTAGATTATTATTCATTATACCTAACCCGAAGAGATTCCTATTTTTATGTTTTAGTTACTTTTCTATGAATAATAAATAAAGAATACATATGAAAAACAAGAAATAAAGTGCTTTATTGGACAATTTATTTACTTTTTTGTTGAAGGCACTTAACCATACTTTTCTTTATACAGATGGAAGTAGTGTACTAAATAATTTTTATTTAATTAAATAATGCACCAAAAAATATAACACAACAACATCCCAAAGCAAGCAAAGTCCCATAACTATCAGAATTTTTCTGGTTTTCTAACTATGCGACAACAGCCATTACAAATTCAATCAAGCTAGTCAATATGTACTAAAAGGTGTACAGAGCTTGTACTAAAAGAGAAATTGACAATTCTCTGTTTAGAGAACCATGTTATATAATATATCATTTGATAGATAAAACCTTGGTTTTTTGTTGGTTATAAATAATATAGTATTAAGTGTAAGAGAAAACTATTAACAAATCCTGAAAGAGAGGATGTGAAAGGTGGGTGTGGCAAGAAGGGTCTGATTTACTATTTGATGGCTCTGTAATCAAACAAAATTGAAGGCTATAAAAATTATGCTTTGTCTGAGCAATGACAATTTGATAATAAGTAATTTATGTTAAATTTCATACTTATAGGAGGTGGTGAATAAATTAAAGAGGGGATGCCTAGAGTAAAAAAAAATGTCGCATTTCTTACACTAGGAGAAATTAAGGATTTTCTTTAATATTGCCTTATAAAATTAAGAACATAAACTTATATACTACTACGATATGGAATATTAGCTATGATTTTATGCTTTACTAATTGATATAACATACACAAAAAGCAGCATTATTAAATTTTAAATGTAAGTCACTAAAAGCCTCGTGACATCCAGTGTCATTATATAAAAGACTGTTAAGTTTAGATATTATTGATCAATTTATTTTTGTGAGTGAATATTTCATTATTGTTTAGTTTTTGTTATAATAGGAGTTAAAAAAGGACGATTATAGGAAGTTTTGTTAATAATTCATTGATGTTGAGACTATTGCATGTCACGTGTAATAAACTGACGTCAAGAATATAGAAGGTGGACAGAAGATTAAGTGAAAAAGATATAAATAGTTAACATAATGCACTTAGACAAAAGTAATAGAGGATCTTCAGAAGAAAGAAGACCAAACGATAAAGGTAACTCGTGCCACAATTGTAAGTGAATCACACTCAGAATACTAGTGCGATAGTAATACAAAAGATAGTTCGGTATGTCAACTGAAATTCTAAAGTAATTGAATAGGCCTAAATGGACTTTTGACAAGAAGGAGAAAACTACATATATAGTAGTTATGATATGCCTATAATATCTACAGTGTTTAATAATTTGTTGTACATACATTTAACTTGTTCCAAATATATATATATTATTTTGAAAACAAGTGAAGTGCATGGTGTTTGTTTATAGTTGAATTTATTGCTAACAAGTCACAGACACCTACTGTAGAAGAATCCTAAGCCCAAAAACAACATTGTGTGTATTTATACTATTAAGAAATATAACTAAAAGCGTTTTTATTTTGACCACCGGAAAAAAGAAGAATATATATTTTAAATTCCAACACTGGATGCCCAGGCAGAGAGGGTTAATCTACAATGATATTTTTCACACCATTTACTTCATGTCATCTATGAGGCAAGAACCTATGCCATACTGAACAAATGCTCTAAAAGACTAAAAACCTTACTGGATACTTTTACTCTTTCCTTAGAATGAAAAGTGTCTTGTTGAACAGGATTTGGTCTGCCATAGTAACACTCATTCACAAAATATGTAAACTACCACTTCATAACTTTAAAGGTGTAAACACACAGAATAAACACTACTGTAACAAAAGCAGAATTAGAGCATCTGTATGATTGAACAGCAGATCTTTGCTGTCAGCCATATACTTGAACTGGTTTTAATCATCTAATAAATTTTCTAATCTGACCTTTAATAACAAAAAAAAATACTGAATTATATAAAAATCACACAAACATCTTAATATTTCTAACACATGTATCATTGAGATTAAACCTTGCCTTCCTCCCTTTTTCTGGCAATAATTTTTGCTGCACTTTTGCTCATGACATGAACAATATAGAGTGGACAGTTTACTTGATTGGCCAAGACTATAGCCCTGTGGGTTGCCTCAGCTTCAACCTGCAAGTCAAAGTACAGTATTAGATTTTAATACATGATACTGACAAACAAAATATATAATAAGTACTACTAAAATAAATAACTTCAATTATCAGTTAAGCAGAAAAAATAGTTATTAATAAATTTAGGTAACACTTAATATCACAAAACCTGCATCACATTAAGTCTACAAATATAGTATACGATATAAAAAAATGACCAGTTCAAGATATTACTAATGAAATTCATTTAGAATAATGGTCATTCAATGGATAAACTCAGTATTGCAGTTATAAGACTATTAACTCTCTCACTATGAGCTCAGTCAAATCAGCAGAGTTCACAACCCTAAACTGACCTTTATAAGTTTAATACTATAACTTCTAATATGTTTTGTGTATCTTCACAAAATTTTGCAAGCTTTCAGCAAGCATTAAAAGTCTATCGCAAACAAACAATCAGAAATTTTAATGAAGTATTTTCATGAAAAATTTCTCCGTGGACATATGAAGTCAAAGTGTTAACTGTTCAGATTGCAAAGTGATTTTTATGTTAAGAATAAAATACTATTCTTCATCTGAAAATTGTCAAATTTCATTTGTATACCCTCTAAAACGTCCTAAATAAATAAATTTCAAATGATCGTTTTCAGTAAAACATTATATTTTATATCTTATTTTCTCTACCCTAACTCTATACAAGGTTGGTCAATTTGACGGACCTTATAACCATCATTAAAATAATAGGAAATAAATCTAAATTACCATTTTCTTATTTCTAGAATGAATTCAAATTGTAACATGAAACTACATTTGTTTATCCTGAGTAGCTTAAATCTTGTAACAGTATACATTTGTTTATACTTTATTGTCTTTTGTATTATGTCTAACTAATAATCCCACCACACAATTGTAAATCACTTGGCAAATGTGTAGCTCATGTTACTGCACCAAATTATTAAGGTACGAGCTACTCATGTACAGCTCGCATGCTTAACTCATGAAAAAATTTTATTATTATTTTTCTTTATTTTACTTAATCTAACCTTATCTAATTGTTACATTTTAGTTACTTTTATAATAATAAAAAAACAATACACATTAGAAACAAGAAATATAATACCCAGATCTTCATTTTTTGTTGTTGACTGTCAATAAAACTTAACCGTACTTTTATACTAATGGTATTACTACACTAAATAAATTTCTATTTAATTAAATAATGCACCTAGGAACACAGAAAAATAACACATAAAAATCAGACAAAATCCAATAAGTATCATAATTTTTATGGCTTTCTAATTATACAATAACCATTAAAAGTTCAGCTAAGATCATTGATGTATTTCCCATGGAAATAATGTTTGAACATGAAGTGAAACAGACAATTCTCTGTAGAGATAACAATGTAATATAACACATCATTTGATGGAATAAAACTGGCTTTCCGTTAGTTATAAATAATATAGTATGAAAGATCAGAGACAACTATTACCAATTTGTGGAAGAAAGGATGTGATAGGAGGGTGACAAGAAGGGTCTAATTTTCTATTTTATGGCTCTGTAACCAAATAAGATTGAAAGTTATAAAAATTATGCTGTGTCTGAGTGACAACAATATTATGATGAGTAATTTACATTAAATTCTGCAATTCTTGGAGAAGTGGTAAATTAATTAAAGAGGGGATTCTTAGAGAGCAAATGTCACAATTCTTGTACTAGGGTGAGGATTTTTTATAATATTTTGTTACGAAATTAAAAACTCAAAACTTAAATAATATTAAAATCTAATTTATTAAAACTCTGTTTGTATGTCAAGTTTATCCGTGTACCATAGATTACTTTTATTTAATTTTGAATGTAACTCTCTAAAAATGTCATGACCTCCCCATAGCGAGAGGGTCAATAAAACATAAAAACCTTCTTTACAATAAGTAATAACAATTACGATTATAAGTGCATAATTAAGGATAAAGAAATAATCTTGAAGTACTCATATTAGAATTACTTTTATTTATTAATGGCAAAAGTGACCAGGAGATCCAAATAATTTTTCTTCTCAATATATTGAGGTTTCAGTTTCTCTATTTTCTGTATGCTTCTAAGTATTAATGTTTGGTGGTTAAATAATACATGCAATTCAATTTTCAAAATAGGTTACAGTAACTTAATACATGCAAAAGAAAAAGCAACTAATATTAACTTTTGATTAAAGCAAGCTGCTTATTTAGACAAAAATAAAAATCAGCCCAATAATGAGTAGAGCTAACAAATTATACAAGTCCTTATGTTCCTTCTTAAATATTAAAATTCATTTTTCATCAGTTGAATACCCTCACTGTTAATAAGATTTTCAGCAATAAACCCATTAATTAAGATAAAAAATAAGATAAGATTTTGTTTTTATAGTACTAAAAATATAAATCAATGGATAAGTCATCAAGTTAGAGAAAGAGAAATATTGACTCAAATCATTAACAAGTATCAGTGGCTTAGCAGTAAGGCTGAAAGCTTATAATGCTAAAACAAAACAAGTTTCAATACAAGTGGTGGACACAACACAGATAGTCCACTATGTAGCTTTACGCTTAACAACTAAACAAACAACGTTAGCAAGTATTCTATTTGCATAACTTTCACCATATAGTCTAGGTATTCTATTTCCTATAAATATATAGGTTTATATAAATAAAATCTTAATATCTAGTTTTTTAAAAAAATTCTAACAGAGTTTAAGTTTAAGACATTATATGTCCAGTTTAATAAAATAATAATTGCACTTAATTCCAAAATCATAAGTAAAACTTAGTTAAAAATGGAATATTTATTTGAGTAACATATTTTATTGATGTGCTCATAACTGTTACACAAATTTATAAACAAAATATTGTTTAAAGATTAACCATTACATTTTAATTGGTGTATACTGTCAAAAAATTGTTTGCTACAAATCATATATAAGTAGAAAAATAGTTATTATGAAAGAAGCAAATTCACCTCTTCTGTTCTGCTGTACATATGCCCTTCAGGACCAGTGATTCCCATACTCAAAATCTTTTTCTGATTCTAGAGGACAAAATTACAAAATTGAAATAATCAATAACATAATTACTCATACTAAGCATGAGTATTTTATTAATATTGCTTCTAACCTTTAAAAATTATTTGCACAAAAATTAATAAGGTTAAAAAAAACACAAAAGTGTTAACAATTAAGCAAAAACTACAGACTCTTTCCCACATTGTTAGTTGACTTTGAAGTTACAAATTAGTTACTGTGAACAGCTTAAAAATCATTAAAACAATCTGTGATCAAATGATTTATATGTTTTTTTTGGGGATGAGAAACAAACTTTTAATTCCCAGAACTACATCAATTCCAAATTTTATTACTGTAAAATTATGGTAGCTATGGACTAAGGTTGAGCTTTTTGCAATTGCCAAGATAAAGACAAATTATTGAAATTATAAGATCAAAAATGTAAAAAAGTATTAATATCCATTCTTTATCTAGTTTTTATTTTTTATTACCAATTACTAAGGATAACAAAATGCTGTTACTTTCTGCATTGGCAGCAAGGCTTAGTTACAAAGATTTCTAATTAAAATGAAAAAATAATAATTAATGTGTACACATTTCTATGAACTTATTTCTTTGTTTAACAACTATTCTTGTATAATTTATTACTTACAAAATATCAATTATGTGCTGTACATACAATTTCTGGAACCTGCTATACTGCAAATACTTATAAATTTTCTTTGGACACTAGTGTACCTTAATACAACACAGTAATAAGTTTGTCATTCATCATACATAACACAAAGGAAACTCAAGTTATACACATATCTAAAACATTTCCATTGTTTGTTTTACATACAGTAGTCTAGACCTCAGGATACAGTTACATAATTATTTGTTTGTTTGTGCAGTTCTCAGCAAAGCTAATTAGGGTCTATCTGCATTAAAAGTCCTTAGTTTTGTAGTGATAACTAGAGGGAAAGCAGCTAGTCACCATCACTGATTGTCAAACTCTGGGTTACTCTTGTTTTACCAAATAGTGATATTTAACCATCACTCTAATAATGCATCCATGGCTCCAAAAAGAGGAGCTTTATTCCTTGGGGGCAGCAACAGGATGTAAACGGTAGAATTTTTTATCCATAATCTGCCATGTTAACCAATGGACTAACCTTTATCACAGGCATCATTGATTATAATAAATAAACATAATCATTTTTTGTTCTTTACATTCAGTTATTTAGAGAGAAAACATTTTCACATTTTAATGGGTATTTAGCACAAAAAGTAATTTTTTTCAAATTTAAGTATTTCATCAAAACTGTATCACAAAATCTAACAGAGAATTTAAGTACTAGTATAATAATAGACATAAAAAATCAGGAAAGAATTTTAAGATGTTAGAAGGACTAAAAGAACTTTGTTTAATAGGCTTTGATAAACAATATGATATAATGATTATTAAAAACACAGAACAAATAAAAAAACAGCTTACTTCATGTATTACATCACCATTTTCTGCATGAACTTGAGCTATGGCTCCTAGAGCTTTGCAGGTCTTGAACACATCAATTAGCTCATCATCTCTTAACATAAAGACATCTTTGTAAGCCATGAACATTTTGAACGAATTTATACCTGTAAATAAATGTATGTTTGTTGCATGTATATTATCTGTTTAAAGGATTTATTTCAACAGCAAAATATTGTGGGAAAAAAATACTCTTATACTTGTTACCATTTGTCATTTTTTAACAACTACCTAGTAAATAGAGTTCCTGTTTTTTTTAATTAGGTGTACCCGATTGTTTTTTATGAAAAGGTCTTTATTGATTCTTTGAATAAATATTTTAAGTTAGAAAGTATATTTTAATAAAACTATTTTCAATTAAATGAAAATTATAAACTTTTCTGAAAAGAATAAAAACCTGCTATATTGAAGCTACTAGATGCTCACTAATGTTTAGTTTACAGTTTTAAATGAACGAGTATCCTTTAAATTTTCTTTCTGCTTTATCATTTTCATAAGCTAAAACCTGTGAGGTTTAGGTTTGAGTGACTTGGCTTCATGCATTCAAAGATACGTTACAATTGTGTCCTTTAAATGAACACGCAACTCCCTCCAAAACTTCCAAATGTAAGAATCAACACAGTCTAGGCAGTCTAAACAATTATTTTTGGAAATCAAACAATGTATGTTCTCAATAAGTTTAAATGTAAATACATTTTCAAGGGAAGCATTTTAATTTTCCTCTTTCATTTGAAATAATCAGTAACTGTTGAGCATCATTATTAATATTTGTTCAAAATAACAAAACCTCTTTTACTTTTGTTGCTATTCATTTCAGTACAACACTTAATATCAAACTTGATTTTCTGGGCAAAATAAAGCTTTTAATAACTAGTCCTTTTACAGCTATCTTAACTTTTTTCCTAATATAAACCTAAAATTTACAAAAATTCTTAATACCTTTTATTTTCTTAAAAACATTTTCAGGTTTCAATAGTATTTTTTCCAGCTAACAAAATAAACCAATCCTTCCCCTGAAACATGCTGAAGTCTTTAAAAACCAGTTATCCACTTTTTGATTATTTGCCTTACATTTATGTTTCTGCAGATGTTGAAAAAAAAATTATATTTTGATAAATGCTCTTGAATACTAAAATTTCTAATCACATTCACTTCAGCACTAAAGACAGATAGAATTTTTCTAAGTGAGCTCATTCACAACACATAACATTCCAAGATAAGTAATAAGTAATCTGCCTTAACTAGGGCAAACACTATGTTTTTAGAGCAGTGCTTTATGAACTGATCTACCAGGATTTCATTTCTACACTCCCTCTGAACATTATAAACTTGATAGATATCTCCAACAAAAGATATTCCAATACCCTAAAACAAGATGGCTCACTGCTTCCTCTTGAATGCAAATAAAATTTTAGTAAAAAATAAAAATATTTGGATATTTTTTGAAAATAAAAACATGTATTACGAATACCTTTCTATATGACAAGGCAATTATATTTCCTGCTTGATGTTTGTGCCTGTTGATATTCTCTTATCATGAATGGTAAGTTATTGAATATAAATTTGGATTTGTATTCCTCACCCCAATTTTGTCTACTTCAATGAATAATAACCTATTTTAATAACTGCTTTCATTTTTGTTTGAGGTACTTGTTAAATGCAATACTCAGAATAGGATACTTTCACAAATATGCAAATGTATTGTTAGATTGATCTGTTTATTTTTATTAATTAGAATAATTTTATATTTTCATAATTAAAAAACAAGTTCATTTATTTTCTATTTATTTGGTGCTGTTACAACTGTAAGTTCAAGCTAAGTCTACTAGTAAATTATTAAAATTTGCAGTTGTTTGTTTATTGTCAAGCACAAAGCTGTACAATGTATCCATTTCAACTACCTAAACCCAATTTTTAACCCTTAGATTTACTGCCAAGTAATATGCAGCAGTACTGCTTGGAGTGAAAGATGGTAAAAGTTGCTTGTTATGGTTTTATTACGGAATTTTTATTTAAGAACAGTAGAATAATTTAGATAGTCAATTTGTTTTCTTTTATGATCAATAAATTATAAGCTTACTGTAAAGAAATTTAAAATAATTTTAAACCAGTTTTTCTTTTCACAAATGATTTGTGATATATTCTTTTTTACTGCCAGCTATTTAAAATTGAATTACCAAGATAAAAAAAAATTTATTCAAACTTTAGCAGTCAAAATCTGTATAACCAAAGTATACCAACTTATTCATTTCAATTAGCATTTAACTGTATGAACAAAGACCTAAAATTTCAAACATTTGTTCTATTAACCATTTTGAGATAGGTTCAATATAAAATGCACGAGTTCATATACACATTTCCACACATTAAGTATTTATACTCTAACTTTTAATGCAGTATGTGTATCTTCATAAAATTTGTTAGACTTTTAGTAAACATTACAAGTCTTTTGTACACAAAGAAATCAGATTTTTTAATGAAGTATGTTTACTAAATATTTGTTTGTGAATGTTTCAAATCTGTCTCGTTACTAGTCCAATTGCAAAGTGATTTTCATGTTATGATTAAAAATGCTATTCTTCATCCAGAAAATCTCAAATATCATTTGTGTAATCTAATACTTTCTAAACATTTCAAACGTATTTTTTCAGTAAAATTTCATATTTTATCCATTATTTTCTCTGTCCTAACTC